TTCTGTGGGCCAGAAGATTTGTGCTTACTTTGAGAAAGGGCTGTGTGCCAGGTTGTTCTTGTTGGGAACGTTCTGCTCTACCTGCTTGTGGTTTGGATTATGGAAAGATTGTGATTTTTATAGTCAGCTCCTGGCAGAAATGCAGGCATTTCCATACTTCAGGGGTTTGTTGAGCATGATAAATCATTACTGAAGAAGAGAATAGCTCAGCTAAAAAGCTCTTCTCTGTAGGACTCTTATTTGTAGTACTTTGAAGGAGGGTCTTCTGGAGGGTGGATGGGAAGGGTCAAGACTCACCAGTTATTCCTCTACATGGGAAATGATGAAACTGCCACAGCGGTTTCTGCAGTTCTGACACTATAATGTCATAGAGCAGATCTGCTTTTACTTCCTAAATTAGAATTTGGTTGTGGATTTGCTTTTAACTTGGTTATCTAATCTATGGGCTGGACTAACAGATATTTCTCTTCATGAGAACAACTTATTTTTCCCATAGCTGTGAAATAAAAAATGACAGCTTGTTCATTCTAAAATGAATAAAAATGCTGTTAAGTTCTTGACCCTCCGAAGGAGAAGTAACTATGAGAACATCCTTTGTCTTTGTGTTAGCTTTCATGCTTATAATGATTGTTTTTGAACGTTTTCAGCTATAGCAAATCGAAGTCCACTTGCTTAAAGCGAACATGACAAATGATGGGAAATTGCATATATTTTCTCCTGACCTTATTATAAAGTAAGCTCTCAAAGACTTCAGTGGAAGAATTAAATCATAAGCCTTCAGACTCGTTTGGGTTTTTTTTTCCATCACAAATGGGTAGGTTTGCAGATGCAGTTAAGACTTTGCAGGAGCAGCTGAAATCAGATTTACCCATGCTACAGTGCGTATTGGCATTGGAACTAGACCACCAACATCTTTTTTAACAGGAACGCTAGGAACAAAATAGATTTCAGGCCAAGATTTGACTTTGAAAAGAGGAAAGCGATCATTATTTATTGTAGACTGTGGCTTGGGTTTGAAAACATGTCTTTTATAGTCAGTTTTAGTTAATGCAGGTTGCTGAAGAAAGAAAATATCTCCCTCACAAAGGAACACATGGGAAATAATAAGCTTATTAATCGAATGCATGAAACCTGCTCTCCTTTTCATGAAAGAAGGGCCTATGCTACACTGAATAAAACTTGCCCCTTTGCATGCTGATGTGTTATCCATGTATTGATGTTACTGCTTCATTAGGAAACCTAGCATTTGAATCTACATTCTGGCAGCAGAACCCTTTTCGTTTACCAAGATTGGTCTGAGGAGTAAAAGAGCCAGCAGACTTGTTTGTAAGAAAGAAACAGAGAATCTTAAAGACAGAAGTTTTCTTAAGCTGAGGCCATTTTTCATGAGTGCATTTTATGGTGAACTTTTTGTTTCTTGCATTAACTTTGCATGGTACAATGTAACAAAAACTTGAGGACTTTGAATTTCCAGTTTCACTGTATTTGACCTGAGTATGAATCAAAATCCACTGTACTTGCATAAGAAAAAGCTTAACATGTATATTTAAGAGTTTTTAAATATTTTTCATTGATATCGGATGTGTAGTATCCAACGTTCATAGAATTTACTTCCTAGAAAATGTTCGGTAGAGACTCTGAAAATTACATTAATGTCCCCATATATTCATTTTTTTAAATGTTATAGTCACAGTATTGTCCTAATTCTGACTTCTCTGACATGTCTGTAAATGAGGAGCAACTCTGTAAATGGAGTTACATTGTACTCATCCTACGCCACTGGCAATGGAAGCACAATTAAGTTCCAAATAGGAAGGTGTATGTGGGGGAGTTGGGGACAAAGCGAACACTGTGTTTAAAAGCAAACAAACCAAAAAAGTTTATTTTGGTCAGTGACCAAACAATTTAAAAAAAAAAAATCCTGAATACATTCAGAGAAAGGAGAAATGAAAAAGTTCTGGATTTCGTTGGGAAATAAATTTTGAGAAATGCTTTTGGTATTTAATAAAAAAGCCATTTCACTTGATCCAAGCAAAGCCTTTTCCCCAAAAGTCCACGGACTGGAGCACTCACCTGGGCTGTTAGGATGAAGTTGACATCCCAAATGGACCGACACTTTCCATTCACTTCCAGGAAAACATTGTAGAGCTCGTAGGAAACCTGTTTTGATGTGGGTTGCCTCCGGTTTCTGCTCCCACAGCTGATCTGCAGTGCGTTAACAGCTAGCTCAGTGTTTGAGATGGGGTCAGACAATACAGCTAGGTTATGGACCACAGCCCGGGTAACTCTTACCTGGGGTCTGTGCCTCAGCCTGCGGGTCCCAGCTCACGGGAGGGCTCTGCGTAGGCGAGTTCTGGTGAATGCAAGATGGCTTTGTTCATACCGATACACACGTTGCCTGTATTTTTTTCAAACTGTAGTTAAGAACCCTTTTGAGAAGAACACAGATTTCTTTTCCAAGTCTCTTCAGTTGGCTGCGTGCTCCGACTGAATGCTGTTTCACCCCGAGCTGGGTTTGTGTTGCTGCTTATGTTGTACCACCCGAGTGTGCAACCAGCTCTGCCCCCACTTCACGCGCCTTCTCTATATGTACGTAAAGCAATAAGCACTACTTTGTAGATGGATCCCTTACCAGTAATTTTCAATTTGTCACCTTTACGTTGTCCCAGTCCCGTTACTCCTTGCAACTCAGTTTTTCTGAGAAAGTAAAAGATTCCCTGCCCACGTTGATTAGTACGTTAGGTTCATCCCTAGACCCAGTTGTAAATTTGTCCTAGGCATGTTCACGAATCACAGACAGCTCTGATGATTTATGGGCATGGGTATGCTTTGTGATGAGGTTTGTTCTGGTTTTTTTTTAAGCATGATTAGGCCAGAATGCATTTGGATTAGGAACTTAGTGTTGGAAGTACTGTGAATCTCCAGTTTCTGTAGAAGTATCCCAATACTGAGATAGGTAATTATTATTTTTTTAAAAGAAGCTAAACAAATTCATTGTAAATGACGCACAATTGGGAGTTTCGTGAAGCTTTCATTACATTGCTTGGGCGTCTTCTGTGGAAGGCAGGCAGAGACAAAGGCTTGCTTGTTCTGAGTTTACAAAAGGAGCATGGTGCAGTGTTGCAATGGGAAGTAGATTTTGATGGGTGGGAGGACTTCAGGAAATAAAATAATTTCAAAGTAGGGGCGTACAGTAAGAGCCATGAAGGCAAAAGCATGGTGCACAGCTTTTGAAAGCAGAGGGAGTTACATTTCCAACAGCTTCTGAAGTAGTTGTGACCCTCCTTCCTCTCTCCCATCTGTGGGCAGGGCGCTAGGATGGTGGGTCCCTGCTCGCCCTTGCGCTGGGAGTCACTGCGACTCCTACACTATCGCTTCTTAGTTCTCCTTAACCCATCGGATTGAATTTAGCAGGCTTGAGCTGAGCAATTAGAGGACCAGGTGGCATTGCCGTTTGGGACATTTGGTGGCTTGATTTTCCTTCTGTACTGGAGTAAAACAGGAGTAATGCCCTGGAAGTCAGCGGGCTGGCACTAGCTTAAAAGAAGTACGATTCCTTTCTGTGTCTGTAATCCGGCTCTTGCTTTCTTCCATCTCCGTGTGGGTAGTTTGCCATAGGAAAAGGACTAGCAAAACCGGCCAATATAATAGCTATTGGTTAATAACAGAGCCCTGGAAATCTTCTGACTTCAGTAATATTTTTAAAAGTATCATTAATTCCTGCTATCCCACTTTGTCCATAACCACGTGAAATGACTGAGTTTATTATTAAGGAGTCTCTGATACTCTTAGAAACCTGATTTTATGCTAAGTCAGGAAGATATATGTGCTTTAAATCTTTAGTAGATCTGGTTTGGATCAGAGGAAGGAGGTTAACAGAGCCGTATCTTCACTGAGCAGCTGAAAGTGAAGTAAAACAGTCCCTGTGTGGTTGCAGCAGCTCGTGATTTACAGGGCTGAATTCACAGGGCTGCTCCGGCTGCTGAAAACGCACGCTCTCAACCGCTGTTGATTTTTGAATTAAAAAAATGCGGCTCTATACACAGTTTACTTTATTGCTAGAGGGCAGGGAAATATAGGTAAGAGCCGTTAATCCCCAGCAGGCTGCTGGGCAGGCGAACAGACATAGATGACAAAAGTTAATTGGAAACATGAGCAGTTTAACAGAAAACATATTTGTGATAATTGAGAGAGTAACGTCTCCAGAAAGGAAACTCTGCAAAGAGAAACTTCAGAGGAGAAGTGGCCACTGGTAGGTGAGTGTGATTTTTCAAGCTCTCTTTAAGCTCTGAACTAATTTCTTAACAAGAACAAATAGCATTAAAAGGAACTAACTAAATAAAAGATTTTCTTCCTCTGAGGGAGGAGGGCTGTACAGTTACTGCCACTAGTTTCTCTTACAGCTGGATTAAGATATGTGGTAATACTTAATTTAGGTTCGTTGCATAAGGACACAATTTATTTTTGTACATGGAGTTTTCTTCTACCTTTTGCATATGAAGGTCTCATCCCCCCCCAATAACTGAAAGGACTTCAGTTTTAATTTTTTCCTTACTCTTGCATTTTTCTTTACATGTTTGAGGTTTTTCTAAGAATCAAACTTGGACAGCAAATATTTTGCCAAAAGCAGAGGGAACCCTTAGTTAGAAAATAGTGCTGTGTTTTTGCTAATGAAAAAGTATTATGAACTTAATAAGGGAGAACACATTGCAAAATGTATTTTGGTTTGAATTGGAGGAGATTTTTTTTTTTTTTTCTTGAAACAGCAAGTAAATGTAAATTACATAGTAGGAGCTCGTTGCTCTTCTGCTGGGTAGGAAAAGAAAACTGGCTTTTATTTTCTTTAGGTGATACTGATGTTGAAAATAGATACGTGTCTATCTTTTTAATGTTATTAGTGTAAAGTTCCTAATGTTTCATTACAGAAGGAATCTCAGACTAGCTATAATATCAGGTACTACTGTGTTGGTTTTTTGGGTTGTGTTTTGTTTTTTTTCCAGAGCCTGCAGACAGTACAGCCTCCCAGCCCACAGGAATGAATGAAAATGTCTCATCCTCAGTTCAAAGCTGCAGCAGTACTGTTAGTTGCAATAATTCATCAGCCATCCCTCAGCCCAGCTCTGCTATTAAACCTTGGCGCAGCAAGTCCCTTAGTGCTAAGCACACAGCTACGTCTTCCATGTTATCCGTAAAGCAGCCCATATCGGAGCCTCCAAAGCCACCGTCGGAAATCGCCAAAACAACTCCCAACGGTCAAAAATCCATGCTTGAAAAATTAAAACTCTTCAATAGCAAAGGAGGCTCCAAAGCAGGAGGGACAACGCTCGAGTGTCCGGGGTCTCGGGATAACAGTTGTGAAAAGCTGGAGACGCTTCTCAGCTTTGAGGAAAGCGAAGAAATTGATGCCGCAAATCAGAATGTGAACAATCCGGGATCGATGTCCAGTAGTCCCAAAATTGCACTCAAGGGAATTGCACAAAGGACTTTTAGCCGGGCACTAACTAATAAGAAAAGTTCTCCAAAGGGTAATGAGAAGGATAAAGAGAAACAGAAAGAGAAAGAAAAGGATAAAAGTAAAGACGTTGCAAAGAGAACATCTGTCACTGAAAAGCTGGACGTGAAAGAGGAACCAAAAGAAGAACAGACAGCACTAGCAGCAACAGAGATGCCAAAAAAGTCCTCCAAGATCGCAAGCTTTATCCCTAAAGGAGGAAAGCTGAATAGTGCCAAGAAGGAGGCCTCTGCCCCTTCGCACAGTGGAATACCAAAACCAGGAATGAAAAACACCACAGGGAAATCCTCAAGTGCCCCCGTTGCTGCAAAGGAAGGCGAGAGAAGCCGCAGCGGGAAAGCCGGCTCGGGGCTCTCGCATCAGAAGTCTCAGCTGGACAGCAGGCATTCCAGCTCCTCATCCAGCCTAGCCTCTTCAGAAGGAAAAGGCGTAGGAGGCCTCAACAGCAGCAGCAGCAGCCAAGCTGTCAACGGACCCGCCGCGACGACCCACACCACAGGGAGCAATACTGTGAGTGTTCAGCTACCTCATCCCCAACAGCAATACAGCCACCCGAACACTGCCACGGTAGCTCCCTTCATGTACAGGTACGGTGACTTCTCCAACGGACTGTTTTGAACGTAAAAGGCGTAGGAGGCCTCAACAGCAGCAGCAGCAGCCAAGCTGTCAACGGACCCGCCGCGACGACCCACACCACAGGGAGCAATACTGTGAGTGTTCAGCTACCTCATCCCCAACAGCAATACAGCCACCCGAACACTGCCACGGTAGCTCCCTTCATGTACAGGTACGGTGACTTCTCCAACGGACTGTTTTGAACGTGACGCTTAGATAGTTTTTTTTTACTCTTTCAGGGGGGCGAGGCTGCAAGGTGAATGCCACGTCATGTAAAAGTTTCTTGCTTTAAGAGAGTAGACAATTTATACATTTACACAAAAACTGTTGGTGAAGGCCGTCAGACTAAGATGTGTAAGAAGTTGTGATGGATAGGAGGGTGAATAATTCTTGTATCCAACCCTACTAACAGTTAAGATGAGAATGCTAACACCTTTTTGACTTAACACCAGGTACTGCTCTTACATGTTTTTGTACCGTGTGGATTAGGTTTGGTTTATGCATCATAGCTTTAAAAGTTGTAGCAACGCCAGTTTATGACATAAATCCACTCATTCTCTTCAGTGTGGCTAAAGTGGTAGAGCTGCCTCGCTATAAGCAGTAATGGGAAATCTTAAAAAATGAAATAAAAATAAAAATCCCTTAGCATAGGTAAGGCCAGGCACAAGGTCTGCTGTTCTGTGCATTAATGCTGAATGAGATAAGCAAAAGAGCAGCCCTGTGGGGTCACAACTGACCTCCATCTAGTCCAGCATTTTCCGTTTGACAATAGCAGTAGAGGATACGTAGGGAAGAGTAACAAGAGGGAAATCAATAACAAAGCTTCCTAAGGACATGTTCCCCAGCCTGACCATGATGCAAGAAATTCCTCAATCAGATGGTGGGATTTTTGGTTTTGACAGCCATCTCCTAGTTTTCTTTGACACCGCTTAATTCTTTCATAGCAAGAGAATGCAAGCGGTTGTTCTGCCTTCATCATCTTCTTGCTGCTCATGATTTGAGAGACCTCTATCATATCCTTCCCTCCCTTAAGATGTGTCTTTTCTAGGCTAAGGTGTCCTAGCCTGTTTAGTTTTTACTTGTAGAGGTGCTGTTCGTAACCTTTGGTCATCTTTATTGCCCTTTCCCATCATTTTTTCATTTCTACTATACACATTTTTGCCTTTGATCTCTCAGCAGATGTAGCGTAAGAAATGGTTGGCCACATTTTTTAAATAAAAATGAATGTAAATGATATGAACCTGAAGGAGAGGGATGCCAAAGACTCAGGTAGGAATGCAAAATGGGAAGAGCGACGCTTGAGTCTTCTGACCCCTTGAGTGTTCTCCCTGTGTGTATGGAATAAAATGCCAGGTGTCCTTCTGAGATGCGGTCACATGAAAATGAACCAGTTGGGAAAAATTAATCTGACTAAAATTTATATTAATAGTAAATGTTGTGGATTTCCCTTGCTCTTGCATTCGTCTATGTACATCAGCATTATTGTTGCATCTTTGGCTGGAGGTGGGATCTACTACTAGTAATTTTTGGAGATTTGTTTTGAGTTAAAAATTGCCAGTGCAGTTTGTACTATTTTAATCCATAATTTAATAGAAAATTGTGATTGCAAACTGATTGCTTTATTGTTTAACCCTCATAACCTGCAAAAATGTTCATGATGCTTTGGGTTGTAAGTTTATCACTACAATGTCCTATCAAAAGATAAAGTAAAAAGCACTCTACTTGGTGTTCATCTTAGTTTGAACATAGATATCATCGTCTAAAGTGTAAAAGGAGATCCAATCCATACATTTTCTATAATCTAAACATACTGATAAACTCTAGGCAGTATTTATTTCACTTTTTACAAAAGACAGTAATGAAACTACCTATTGACAGCTGGAGAAAATGCTGAGAAATTGAAAAAAATAGTCTTGTCTTTTCAGCATTGGAAGCAGAAAGGCCCAACTGTATAACCTTGCTGGCTTTAAAAGGAAAAAGAAAAGTCAAATTATATTGATTTGCAAGGCAAACATATAGCATTATTATAAATTTACTGTCCAGACACTTTTTCGAATCTGCAAAATGCACTTGTTAATGCATTGCAGTAGTAGTCTCAGGTTTTTTCTGCTATCAGTTAAGGTTACTTTAACCTAAACTTTTCAGCTGCCTATAGACTTAGTTTTTGTTTGTTTGTTGTTTTTTTTAAAGTAAAAGACATGAGAAATTGTTCTACGTTTCATATAGGGTCAACTGACATTAAGACTATTGCAGTAGTAATTCGCTGCTGTGTCTTCACTTTTGTACAGCACTTACCCCTTGGACAGGAGAACTTTCAGCCGCTTGTTGATGTGGCTCTACAAGGAAAACACAGTGCAACTAGTAAAATGAAATGAGTCAAGCTATATTACTCAAATCTGACAACAGATTCTTACAACATCGCCTTTCATTACCTGACAGCCACAATGTCAGACAATGAATTGGAGTTTGAAGTTGGTTTTACCCAGTCATTTATTTTAGAATATATTGCTAGTTATTGAAGGGAAATTAGCAGGAGTGTAACATGGCATCGCACCCTACCTGCTTTATATTTATGCAATACAGACTTCATTAGAGAGGATCAGATTGATGTACAACTGATGTAATTGATAACTAAAATTTAGCTGGAAATCCAAGTGTCTTAAGACCCTGACTGAAGAGCTGTGAAGCCTATCTTTGACTATGAATTTTTTATTTTTTCCAGCTGAGTGCTTGTTTCCATTTCTAGGACATACTTCAACATGGGACTAATGAATTATGTAAAATCAGTCTGCTGGTCTGTTCCGGAGAGAGGGACTGAGCAGCTGATGGCGAGTGCAATTGTCTGGTTGTTATACTTGAGATACTTTTGATGGAGAGTGACTGCACATCTCTATTTTGTTTTGCCTTCCAGATCGCAGACAGACAATGAAGGGAACGTAACAGCCGAGGCCAGCACAGGAGGGGTCAGCATGGATTCTGCTCTTTATGTCAAAACTGGACAGCCTGCTCTCGAAGACCTCTCAGGTACGTCTTGCAATACGACTTACTGACTGTGGTCTGGTTAAATAAGAATGGGCTAAAGCAAGTTTGAAGTCAGGAGCTCCCTCTTTAGCGGGGATTTAATTTGGTTTTATTCCTACTGCTTTATTTCGTGTTAGTTACGATATTTCTTTCAGCTCTTCAGCAATGGAAACAGGGTGTCAGTAATCTGAATACTAGATGCTCAAGTTCTACACAATCGTGTGCCTCCCCAATTTCTTGAGACCATTAGGAATTCTGAGTACTTAATGTTTTTCTAGGAGATGTGCAGCACCTTTTAGGATTAAGCTATTGTAAGGATCTTAAGTATTCCCAAACATTTGATATTTATTTTTTACTTTTTAAAACTTTGCTTCAGAGCTTACAGAAGAGATTAAGTTAATTTCCTTGATGTTCTGGTTTGTTCATAGGTTTGGAGGAATCTCAGTATTCACTCACATGAATCTGATCAATTTGAGAAGTGGTCTTTGCAGCAATAAGAGACTAAAATCCAACTTCAGTTTACTGTGTCCAGCATACAGAAGCTGAAACTGATTGTAATTAGATTACTAGCAGTCTAAATCGGAAAGTATTTCATATGTTTATCTAGAATTCCTGCTACTGTAAGAAGTATATGATAATTAGCAATAATTTTTAAGCTTATCAATATAACAAAGCAATTTTTAGCAACCATATTCTACTGAGGATTTAAAATGTGCTTTTAAAGTCACAGTCAAGTCTCCTCCTATTCCAATTTCAGCAATGTCTAGGACTTTGCTTATTGCATACTATTGCAGTGTATCTCATCAGTAGAATATCTCAGGTTTTTTCATCTACTTAGTCTTGGAGTCCTCCAGTTTAATGTGAGTTTTGAAATTGATTGTCCTGCTTGGAAAAATCATGTGGCTAAAAGTTTCACAATTGGATTAATTTCATACTGCATTACATATTCAGTGTTTATACCTGTGCGCACATACCCTGATGGCAAAGCCAAGAGGCAGAGTCATTGGTGAGAAAAAGGGCTGCAGGGATGCATAAATGAGTGTATCTGTGTGTATGATTTATATATAGGTGGATTAAATATTTAAAAGGCAAATAAATGGCACAAGGGATAAAATCCTTGAGAACATTTTGGGTTCCTACTTGAATATGAGAGCTAGTTCAAAGTAAGAAACACAGAATGTCCAGCTGCTTAAATTTTTTCAGTATTACCTCTTAATCGTCATATTGCCTAGCCTGGATGTATTTCAGCCTCTAAACTGAGAAGCGTTTATAGATCACAAAAGGTTTTCAGTCTTCAGTGGCAGGTGTTATGTAAATACAAACTATTATTCAAGTAGAATATGTAAGTTTTGGGATCCAGAAATGGAAGACAGCTGACAGCCTTGAACAGTGGAGATGCAAAACCCAGCTGTGTGCAGCCAAACCCCACAGACAGCAGCAGTCCATAAAGGGGTCTTAGGGGAAAAGGAGCAAACGAAACAAAGTGGTCCCTCAACCAAATAAATTACAAGAAATAACAGACAGATTTCTTCTCTCCTTACATAGCAGCTATTGATGCTTTTAATTTAAAAGCACATATGAAACAAAAGAGAACATAGGTAGGGAAAACTGGAAGCTGAATAGTTTAATGATGCTGCCTGTTCATGAAGAGCTAAGCATTTTAATAATTAAGTTCTAGCGGCACTATCCAATGTCTGTCTTTTAAATATACTTATAATTTAAGCAATTGAATGTCATTTAAGTAAAAATTTGGTTTCAATTTAGGCGTAAGAGAAATTGGTTTAGCTTGTCTCATGTATGTTTTCTTAAGTTATCTACCGTTTGCTTTCGTATCTATGAGAGAAATGATCTGTAAAAGAGCACTGTGACCTTTGTTAGGCTAAAGGCCTATAAATATTTTATGTTCTTTACTGCAAAAATTTGTAGATCCATGAGTGTAGAAAATGTTTTCTGTCCCAGAGACCCATTGGCTAAAGGAATCGGTCTTGTTAGGCGGCTATTTCCAGTCCAGCCAGGTCAGAATTGTTTGACCATTTGGCCTAAGTGAATGGTGTCTCAGGGAGATTATTTCCCAGGGAGTAGAGACCCATTAAAAAAAGAAATTGCTAACATGGACACTACCTGAGCCATTCCCAGGGAGTAGAGACCCATTAAAAAAAAAAAAATTGCTAACATGGACACTACCTGAGCCGTTGTTCTTTGCCTCAGAAAGACTAATGAATGCATAAGCATTAAAATCTGTCTTCCCCTCCCTACATAGTTCCCCGCAGTTGGGGCTCCAGCACTTCGGTGAGTAGTTTGTGCTACTGCTGCTTTGCAGGCAAGAGTGTGTGACTTGGTTTTTCTGTGCCACCAACCTGGCATCTTTCAGAAACATGAAGTTTAAAGCAAAGAATGTGGAAAGTTCCAATAACAGAAAATTTATGGCTTATTTATCTGTTCCTTAACACTTCTTATTTATGTAATATATAGACAGCCATCTAAACTAGCAATCGCATGGATCACCGGTATCCTGGCAGCTTAAGAATGCATCACTTGTGCAGAGAAGGCGGATACGAAATTTGAAAAGTTTTAAATTTGCTGTAGTATTTTCTTTAGTCATGAGTTGTCAGCCCTCTAGAATGAAATCATTTCCTTCTGTGCCCAACAGAAGTTTTGTGACGGCTTTTTGGAGGTTTTCTGTTTCAGCATTCAGCTTACAAAGAATATGGTGGCACTACTAAATATTCACTTCTCTTCAATCTCTTAGAAGGTTTAACTATATAAAGCTCAGCTGAGTTAGCAACCAAAGCATTTCTTAACTGACAATTGAGAACAAGTAAATAAATTATGCTAACTAATTAAATTATTAATTTTATAAAAAGAAATTATGCTGAGGCACTAGGAGGACTTTTTTAATGCATATAAATTCTACTTTTAGAGTTGAAGAACAGGACATAAACGTGTTTTAGAACAGAGTATTTAAAGAACAGGATTTCTAAATGCCAGGGAAAGTAAAAGTCACCCCCAACTTTGTGTCATGTAATACATTTAAGTAACAATAACTGGGTGGTGCTGTGGACAAGCAAAAACTTTTGCTATTTTATCTAAAACATCACTCAGCATGGAGCACCCAGTCAACACAATTTACTTTACTGGAAAGCTGTTGTTGTAGAATGAGGTCTATTTAAAATGGGAAAAAGAAGGTCTAGTGAAAATACAGCATTGGGGAAATTGGCTGTGTTGGGTTGATGTTAATTGTGTCAATATATGAGATGGAAAGGGTCGTATTGATGGAGTATATCTTCTAATGAGGTTGAAAGTTAACCAGAATTTAAATTGGGTCATATGGGGAAATGACAATACAGAAACATCTGGTGCAAAGGCAGCCCGTGAAATAAAGTTAACAGTACAGAGCTCATTCTCAGTCCGGCTGCGGCAGCGGCAGGTGCCTGCCGTAGGGGAATGGTATCTGCGTCATAAACAGTTTAGAGTGTTAAATAACAGAAAGTCAGAAAAAATGCGTTTGAGACAGGTTTAGGCAGAGGTAATGGCTCAGTTCTGTGCTGTTTCCTGCCTTATCCTTTCTAATGGTTTATTTTCCCTGTAGGAGAGGATCCAGAAACTCGGCGATTGCGAACTGTGAAAAACATTGCCGATCTTCGACAGAACTTAGAGGAAACGATGTCCAGTTTACGGGGAACCCAGGTTACTCACAGGTAATGGCATGACTTTGTTTATAAGATAATGGAAATCATTGTGCTCTTACTTTACATTTGTTAGATCTGGCTGGGTTGCATCCTTGAAAAATGTTTAACACTGCTAGTGGAAGGTACTGATCTTGTACTTTTTGTCTTTAAAGCACCGATTCTGAACTGTGTTCAGTGTTTATTGAGATGTACGATGAGTAATTGGTGGTGGCGGGTTGTATATAGAATCAAAAGTGGAGAATAGTCAGTGCTTGTTAAATGCGTTAGGTGATGTTTGAATATAGGTTACAGTTTAAAATGTTTCTTCATCTTACTCTTGAACAACTTCAGTGTATTACATCTCTCTCCCCTATGTGTAATATTTTGTTTAAGTAAGCAGGTGAACTGTGCTTGACCCACTTGATAAACGGCATAACTTGAATTCCTGGCCAATCTTTGGACAAACAAATTTTTCTAATATTATTAATCATCCATGTATATAACTGCTTTTTCTTTGTAAAGCAACATTTATAAATCTTCAGCAATATTTAAAATACGCTCTAAATAAACAAAGACTCTTACTACATATAAACCTTCTGTGACTCAGATCTTTTCCGTGTTGAACGGGAGGCTTGGGAGAATAAGCTGTTTGGCCCCTAATGAGGTCGGGGTCCTACTTAGTGCTCAGTGCTTATGGACTGCAGCCCTAAATGAGTTCACTGGGGGAACGCTTTGTGTTTTGGCTTTGTATCTAAAACTGAGGCAGAGCTTGCAAAGATTAACTCCCAATGCTATTTTTCTTTTCAAATTTCAATTAATGTGACAGCTTATTATGATTTAATTACTATAACCTCAGGATACATAGGTTTTTGCAGCGTGTACGTAACATTGTATTGCTAATAGTACAATGCTGCTTATTTTAACAAATATCCACAATAAAAAAGGAAATAACACTGTGTTAGTTGAGCAGGAAAGGAAAAGGGGAGTTCATGTGGGTAAAAGAAGTTGCAGCTATGGATTAGCTTGCAACTAAGTTAGCTGCAACTAAGCTGCAAGTGTTCAGAGTGCAGTCTTGCAATCTATACACATCACCTGAAATCTCATGGTGTAGCAGTCCCATTTTTAAAGTTCCATAGAGCAGTCTACATTTAATCATATGCATTTATTTTTTTAAGCGCATTGGAAACTATTTTTGACACAGACATCACTACCGAGATAAGTGGTCGCAGCATTCTCAGAGCGTACTAGCATTACTGTTGGAAGGGATGCAACATATTCACACACTCGGACGCAGAGAATGGACAATTTAATATAGCTGATGCTTATCAAAAACTGTATTTACAGGCTGTGACCAGAGCTCTGTATAAATATTATTAATATTATGAAAAATATATTCAATTCATGAATATATAAAATAGATCTTGAAAATAAATTTGTTTTGCCTTTCTTATTATTTTTTCATTTAATCCTTTCCTCAGTGTAGAAATAGACACCATCTTCGTGCTGGACACATCTCCAGAGTATTAGGACTTTCATGAATGCAGCCAAAAAAAAGAAAATGTATCAGAAAAATTGTACTTCAGTTGGTTTTCCTTTAGTGAGCTTAATATTCTACTCTCTTGCCTAGAGTGGCAAAACCATGGTATAATAGAGTTATATATGACTGAAGATGAAAAAGTTATGCCTTGATACTGTGGATAATCCGTTAAAAAGTTCCTGCTTAAGTCTTCTCACATGTATGTTGAACACTTGGTGGCCTGGGTGTAAGAGTATCGTTATTTAAGAACAGTGTTGGAGAAATGGACCGTAACTCTCTCAAGGCGTTGTAGCAGGTAAATTCTGTTAATGCTGTTACTTACAGTCTGTAACTTGGTGAGTGTTCAGGGTGTAGGGTCTTGCAATCACCTGAAATCTCACAGTGCTCTGCACAGCAGGCCACATTTAATCAAATGCATTTATTTTTTTAAGCACATTGGAAACTACCTTTGACACCAACGTCACTACCGAGATAAGTGGCCGCAGCATCCTCAGCTTGACGGCACGACCGACCCCCTTATCGTGGAGACTGGGGCAGTCCAGCCCCCGCCTGCAGGCAGGCGACGCTCCGTCGATGGGAAATGGGTATCCTCCGCGAGGGAACGCCAGCCGCTTCATCAACACGGAGTCGGGACGCTACATGTATTCGGCACCTTTGCGGAGGCAACTGGCGTCCCGCGGTAGCAGCGTCTGCCACGTGGACATCTCGGACAAGGGAAGTGATGAAATTGATCTGGAGGGCATCACTATGGATGCCACCGGCTATATGAGCGATGGGGATGTCCTGGGCAAGAATATCAGAGCTGATGACATCACGAGTGGGTAAGTGCCTTTACTTTTCTTCTTAAATACTATATGTGATTTGTTGCATTGTGTTTAATGACGCTGTATTCCCATGATTATTTGGAGAAAGGAAAAAAAAATATCAAACATATTCTACTAGTTTTAATAAGCATTTGGAGGGACAGCTTATTGTAACAGCTAATTTAGTCAGTGAGATTTAAGCACATGATTTTTTTAAGTGCATGTTAAGAAAATATTCCTATACATGAACATACATGTTCATAATCATATACATGATTAAATGTTTTCCTGAGTCAGGGTTCATTGTGGTCAAGTCAAACACATGCTGCAACATTCATTTATGCCCACAAGATGGAGAGAGTGAGGCATTTTCTGTACTTCTACTGAACCCTTTTGCTGTCTGAACTTTGAGGGGACAGTTCACTGGAAGGAAATGAGTTTGCATCTCTGTGTAGGGTAAAATAGTTGTCCATGCAAAATAAGAACAAGTTAGTGTGCAGAAATATGAGCTGATAAACAGTTATTAACAAGGTTTTACATCAACATTTTACCTCTGCTGTGACTGGAAAAAGTCTTTGTTCTTTGCTCCAAAGTCAGTATTCAATTCAATATGTCCATTTTCAATTCCTTCTAGAAAGTACAGTCATTTTTTCTTAGCTCAAGTACATCAGCATTAGATTGATGATAAAACTGATCTTTGAGATGTAAACGGCATATTTATTTTTGTGGCAGCCTTTCCCCTGTCTGGCTATCTTACATCCTTTGCTTTTCTGTAATTTTTTTGTAAGTGACATTTCTTGTAGCTTAGGCTTATTTGGAAGATTTAGTGTCTCTTACTGAAATAGAAAGCTGGAATCCAGCTGCTGCTTTGTCACTAACTTAACCAGTTAAGTTACACAATCTGGAAACCTCCATTAATTCTGTCTGTTAGGAATATTTGGATGTTTTCACGCTGTCCTTTTTGAAAAGTCAAACACTTCATTTTTAATTCTTTGTCAGGGAACCATATAGTAAATAAGCTGATGCAAAAACCAGTATAAAACCAGTATAAAGCACCAGTAGCTGTTGCTGCATTAATAATGCATCCTATCACTGAAGTGCCTTGTGTTTTCCTCAAATAAATGAGCTTGTACTTGAGTTTTGCAGTATTTATTGTAGTAACAGTTACTGCTTTTCCTCTGGACTATGACTTTTATTCAAACTCGTGGCTGTGATTTTGGTCTAGAAGAGAGGAAAATAAATTCTGGGTAGCACCATGGTTTCTATAAAACACCTAGAGTGTGAGCTGAGAAGTGTGCCTGGCAGAACTGTGTCAATTCAGGCTTCTGCTGCTCATATCCTAGAGGAGCCCCAGTCTTTGCAGATCTTTACTTAGTGTATAAAGTTCAGATTCCATGTTGAGGAAAAGGAAAGAATAAGAAAGCCGTTGAGTTTATGAATGATATTTCCAGAGAAATCTGTGCCTTCACTCATCTCTGTGTATCATTTCGTTTTCTGTGTCTGTCTGGTCATCCTATAGGGTAAAAAATTGAAGTCTCAATAGTCTGAAAATACAAGAGTGGTCTTTAGATTCTGGGTCTAAGGGATTAATAATGTAATACAATGTTTTTGCCAGTTGGTACCTCTGTCACCAAAGCAGTGAGTTATATACCAAGAATTATACTAAGAATGGTGAATATAACATTTAGCAGGAGAGTCGTATATTCACAACACCTCACTCCTAGCCTTGAGTGTTAGAACATCTTTAACTGAGTACCTGACTCTTATTTCCCACTAGTTTTTAAAGGAGGGAGATAACTTTCAGTTTTTATTCATATAACCAGCAACACATTGATAAATGAGATCTTAATTTAAAGTTCTTAGGACAAGAAGTTATGTGTACAAATGTCTTTTTCTTTTCCACATCTTTTGCCTTTAGCTACAAAAGCCTATTTTGCTACATGATGTGAGTTGGTTTATTGATTTATATAGCACTGTTGTAGTCATTGACTATGTTCCAAGGGCAGAATCTGTATTGCAGGTCAATCCATCGTCAGCAAGATCCAGCTCCATTTCCAGGTTGTGGGCAGGGTTTGGAGGTTGGGCGGTTTGGAGGTTCTCTCGTTGCTGCACCGGTGGGTATTTGGAGGGAGCGTCCCTGGAAGCAGCCCAACAATGTTGGGGTTACATAGTCTGTGGAGAGTAATCGTGTGTGCGGATTCCTCGAGAAGGGAGTATTGCGATATTGAATTGCAATAACAGCTTTGGATATAATCCCAATATCAATGGAGAGATAAAAAAATGAGGCTGTTACCTTTGGTGAATCTCACTGACACTTAATCATGCCAGATTACCATCTTCAGTATGGGCAGATGTTTTGGTAGCCTGTTTCATAAGTTATCTTCCCCAATGTCGGTTTATTCCCAATAATAAAAAATTAGGATAGTATTGTGTCTTTGTGGGAGAGGGATAATACACCGCTTAGAAATCAGAGATGTTGCTTGTAAAGAAATTATCCGTGTGACTTGCTGTAGAACAAATCTCTGAGATCAATGTTAGGGTGAGCAGGCCCAATATTTCCAGAAGCTGAGTTACGGTATGTAGAAAGCAGCACAAGAGGGCATTTATAGCATGAATAGCTCTTTATTAGCTGGTATGTGTTTCACTTTGTCATTTTTCAGAATTGCTACAATTCTGCAGTCTGAAAACCTTGAATCTGTGTTTTCATTGGCAAACTGATAGGGAAGGAAGCCAAAATATTTGTTACAGGCAAAATAAATCCAATAGCCAAGATAAACTATTTTAGCCCTGTGATCCTGATGCTTTCTCTGAAATGTACTGGGTCATGGGAAGTTTCGTTTGGCCTCCTTTAATAAGCCTGCTCAAGCAGAGCTCTGGCAGACACCGGGTTTGCTTTCGTAGGGTTAGAAAGAGTATCTTTTCCAAACGGGCAGAAAATACCTCTTACGCTAAGAAAGTCTCCAGGGGGTGGATCAAAGGTAAGAAGTTGTCTTATCATGGGAGCTAAAACATCAACTGAACGACAAAGCAACAGGACTAGGATTTATGTGAGGTGGGGAGCAAGCACCCAACCCACCTCCTTCGGCGGCTGGCTGAGCTCGAGGCTTCAGAAAGTGGTACCTCAAAGCCCAGAATTGTCTCACCTATCCACCCCAAAGATTGTCCCAGGTGGGGACGTTAACTCATGTGGCTTTTCTGGGTTTGTTTGGAAGGTTTCGTCCACTTCAGTCTCCCTCTAGCTACTAGCACACACATTCCTACCTCTTTTTGACCTTCCCCCTTGCCCCAGTTCTCTCTAATTTCCTTTTTATCTGTCCTTGGAATTGAGCAACAGAGCTGTTGGTCAGAAAGGCTTTTTAAAATTCTTTTCTTTTAATTTAATTAATCCTCTGCCCCAGTTTTCATTACCCTGGTGTGCAGCTTTCTATGCAGAATTAACAGCGCGGATGTACCGATTAGTGCTGGTCACAAATTTTCTCAGGCAATGGCTTTGGGTCTGCAGACGCAGCTTGTCAAAACAATTTTTTGCAGAAGCATGGCTGTTCCAGCTATGTTCCAACAAAATGTAGATCTGATGATTTGACAGCTCAGCCGCCCTAGAGCCTGAACTTTGAGGCAGAGCAGATGTGAGCGGCCCCGTGCGTGGACCATGGGTCTGCTGCGTGCCAGGCTGGGCTTTGGGGCATGCCCAGCTCTCTCTTTTGAGTGCATCTCGTTAAGAAACGTTACCTGGTGACTCTCTCATACCTTACTTAGCCAGCCTAGCAGTGAACTGCTACCTCAGCTCTTAGATGAGGACAGAAGGGCTCAGCCTGCATATGATGTTCAGGGGCCCTATGCTAAAATTCTCCTTGCAGCGACCTCCTGTGGGTGCAGCGGCTGTTGTGGGGCGGGGGGGAGACCTTTTACCGTTTTATTAAACTCCCCATTTATTTGATGCTTTGAGGCCGAAACATTCCCATTCCAGATCTCTATTTCCACAACCTCTTAATGTATTTGTGTGCACAATGCCCATGGGATTGTGATTCCTTCCTGTTTATTCAAGCCTTTATGCTCCCTGGGGATCTTTTTACAAGCACTACCAGCAGGTGAGTTGGGAAGATGGATGAAAGGATGCTAAAAGGGAGAGCAGGCCACTCCGGGCTGGGGAACCAGGCTTTACCCCCTGCTTCTGCTCAGGTCAATTAAACCTACGCAAAAGCATCGTGCCCTAGGTAGAAATCATCTTTGTGGTGCAGAGGCCTGTCTACCCTCGAGTAACATGGACCAAAACCATCATTGAAGTAGAGTTCTGTTGTAGGCTGAAATTTAGGAGTTACAACTATTAGGAGGCAAAGAAGAGTTTGATATGAAGAGCTGAAATTGCGGACTGATTTCATTGAATGTTGAAGTGTAATTGATATTTGTCGGATTCTTGCGGCTCAGTTGCTTGATTTTGTTCTATTTATCAGTCAGACAGTGACACAAGTTTTTCAGATGTCAGGCTCCTATGTGGCGTAACAGACCTTCACTTGGGTTAAGGTTTTAGAGGAAGAAAAGGAGGACTATGCCGTTTGCCTCTAATGAGAATTTGTTCTTGGTAACAGTAGTTAAGAGAAACCGTTTCCTTCTAAGCTGTCTGTGACAGGAATGGTTGCTGCTCGAGGTAACGCGTGGTTAGCTAGAAATCAAGAGTGGCTGAGCTAATCGTGGTCTGAATGAGAACCTGTTCACCCTGTACATTGATTCAATGCTAGCTATAGTCTTTTCCGACCTATTTTTTTGCCATGGTGATTACTACTGTATTTTTTCTGTATGCTTTGAGTTACAGTGGGTTAGTCATTTTACTGGACATTGCTCTTTAAATGGTATGATTTTAGGGATAAGATTTCATCTAAATACAGTGGATGGGTAAAACTGCATTCCTTATATGGCTATAACACTTCAACATGACTAAGAATCATTAGGAGGTTTATTTTATTTTTCTTCTCTGTTTGAGTAGAGTGTTTATTTGAACTGCCTTCTGTCTTGCTAGGACTGGCT